CCTTCCTTTTGGATAGTACTAACAAGTTGGCCATAAGTCAGTGAATCATATTCTATGATCCCAGTGTCTTTGCTAAGGGCTTCTCTGATTTTATGGGCAAATAGATTAGGTAAACCATTAACAAATTTTTCTTTCCAGAATGATTTATTACAGTCTGGGCGAAGCATAACTCTATTGATAAAAACATCTTTATACCATCTAAAGTCACTAAGTGTTGGGCACCTGAGGTTACTAAGCTGGTCATGAATCCTAGCTTCAATATTACTTGGTGTGCCAACAAAATGTTTGACAATGGTGAATATTAAAGTGTTTAAACCATCTGGTTTTGATCTGCCAAGTCTCTCATCAAAAATTGGAATGCCATCATCATCAAGAACAACAGCATTTCTAATATCATCCCTAGAATCTGGAGTAAGGTAATTGTCCCACCAACTCCTCAGTACTCCAGTAAATCCTGAGGTAACTAAGTCGACAATTTGGGGTTCAGGATCATTAAGGTTATTTACATAACTATTAATGACCATAGACATGTGATGAATTTTGTTGAGAATTTCTTGCTCACTTAATCCATCTATGTTCCATTCATAGAGCTTGTTTGATTGAACTGAAAATTGGTTAGAAATATTTTTCTCTTCAAATTGAATATCTGGGGGAGTGGGTTTGGAGTACCAATTTTTTGTAGAACTAGAAGGGAAAACCAGCTTATTGATTTTAGAAATAGGTGCACTTATGCTTATGTCAGTGAACTGTTTTTCTAAGCTTTTAATATCTTCCTCAGATGAAGATATGGAAGTCTCAGTTTCAGTTTCAGAATTTTTGTTAATTACAGTTACTTGAGAAGTTTGTGATGTTTCGGTTTGTGCATCTAATTTTTTAATTAACTGATCAATCTTTGCAATCCTAAGTTGATCTGGTATTCCTAATTTAGTCCTATCTTCTGGTAGGGTTACTAGAGGTTTTTCTAATTTCTTTGGGGAAATAGGTATTTTTTCAATTTTGTTTTCAATCTTATCTAATTGTTGGCCTAAAACAATTAAGCTTTGATTAGTAAAATTGTTTTGTTCAATTACTCTCTTCTGAAATTTATCTAAAGCCACTTGTTCTGTTGATGCCTTAGTATTTTCAGGAGGAGGGATCTTAAATGGTGAAGCCACGATTTGTTTGTCAGCAGAATTAAATGTAAAAGTTTGGGTTGGAGGATGACTAGAAGAGACAATTCCTGAATCCGTAGTTTTCCATTTATGTTTTATTATTACTTTTACATCTTTGTGACAAGAGTCAAGGTAATCAAAGAATTCAATTTCAGATTCAATTTTGTGCATTGTTTTAATCCATTGAACTTGAATTTCTTTTCTTTGTTATCCATTATATTGTTTAAAGAATTCTTTATTTCTAAGTTTATTCTTAACCATCCTACTTTTTAATTGAGCTATGTCTGGTAGAAATAAAGTACTAGGTTTTGTATTTATGACATAGAGTTGATGACTTAAATCTGGATTAAGCTTAAGACTTTCTAGATCAGAAGCAGTGGGTGATGGAGTAAAATCATCAAATATATATATATATATATGATGTTAATCTCCTCGCAGATAAAAACGCGTTTAAACTTTGTCCCACTAATTTTGAGGTGTGAGTCTCACTTTTATTTAAGCCTCAAATTACTCAAAAAAAAATTTAAAACCATAATTTCCGACAAAAGTTTCGGTACAAAATTATGTGAGATAAGTGTTTCTCTCAGAAGATTGCGTGGGTTGGTGAAGTGGCTGTTGGGATCATAGACTTTTATACTGTATTGCAACCATGTATGTTCGTTGAGAGCTGCCCATCTCTCATTTAATGAGTTACACCCACAGTTTGACCAAATGCCTCTCTCTCTCTCTCTCTCTCTCTCTAAACGTTTGGGTCCAATTCCTTAATTATTATCTCCGTTTTTAAATATTTATTGTTTAAAATTTTTATACATGAATTAAAGAAGTTATTAAATAACTCTAATATGAGTAAAAAGTAATTAAACAAAACTAAAATACCCTTATTCAATACGTATTGAGAAGAAAATGAATATGAAAGGTACTTAGCCTTCACCTAATTTAATGCATTGAAAAATTAAGGATAAATTTAAAAAAAAAATATTAATTATACTTTGATTTCATTAAACGATAGATATTATAGAATAAAAAAAATTATATAAAATAACAGGTATTTAAAAACGGAGAAAGTAATTAACGTTCCTATATTTGCTATCACATGAAACATTTCAAAGTGTTCTATTCTCCCTTTCACATTTGGTGGAGAATCTGAATCAAATCAATTCATTAGGCCAAATAAATCAAACACTTTTGTCTCACAGGGAGAAACTCCGTATAGCCCAAGTTATTAAGACACTGATTGGGCTGACGTGGGGTCATATCTCAAGAGCACGTAACACACGCTTTCTCTCTCTCTCTCTCTCTCCTCATGCTTAGATTGATAAGTATATGGATAATATTAATTTACTTTATTAATTTAATTGTTTGCCAAGTGAAATAATTTAATTTAATTGCCAGTTCAACAAAATTAGTTTAATTAAAATAGGTTATTTATATTTTAAAAATCTAGAAATGAAGCGTTTCTAAAGCCCTCTTATCCAAAAAAATTGTTTATTTTATATATAGATAGATTGAAACTCGCAATTATTTTAATTGTTACATTGAATAAGCTCATGCTTTAAATTCTCAAATTGGTTCATTAAACATTACTCGTTTAAAATCGACAAGATACAATTTTTTTTCTTATGAGTAATGCTATTTTGGCATAATTTAAATACTTAATTATTATATTCATTAGATCATATGTGAAACGCATTCTTTAAAGGGACTAATTTTTCTTTAAATTATGTCTAAATAATTTTTTTTTTTTTATAGTTCTTACTTTTTTATGATTTATTTCGAGAAATAAAGTCGTGTAGTATCTTTTATGTCGTCATTGTATAATAAAAAAAAAATATGATGATGTGGTGACTTTTTATTGGAGAATAAACCATACTGGATTGAAAGATATTCAGAGTGCAGAGGACCTACAAACGTCATACCCAACAACTCACTAAAATTTAGCCTCTTGACTTGGTATTGATCAGCCAAGTAAACCTTTCAAACTTCCATGACTCCAACTACATCCGTATAGAAACTTCCAAGCTCCATTTTCAAACGAAGTCATTAAATACCAGAACACCGACTTCTCTCTCCTCCTTGTTTCCTCTTCTTTCTCCAAACTGATTGTTGCTCTGCCTGTGTTCAACATGGCTTCATACAATTCCATCGCGCTGCTTGCTATCTTTCTTGTTTTCCAACCTTGGACTGCTGCAAGCAACATTCTATCTCCTACTCTGTCTCCTATCTTTGGTTGGTTATCCTTTATATTTGTGCTTTCTTTTTTGGTGGTTCTTTTCATTTTTAAATAGTATTCCTCTTTTCTTTTCATTTTTCTTTGGTGGGTTTGGATTTTGATGGATTTTTTTCATCTGGGTTGTCTTCAATTTTTCATAAATCTTCGAATATTAATATGGGTTTTTGAAGGGATTGGTAAAAAAATGAAATTTGATTTGGGTTGACAGATGATGTGTGCAAACATGTGGAGTGTGGAAAAGGGACTTGCAAACCTTCACCCAACAACACTTGGTTCTATGTGTGTGAATGTCATCCTGGGTGGAAGCAAACTCGTCCTCAAGATGATGATGATCTCAAGTTTCTCCCTTGTGTAATCCCCAATTGTGAGTCTCTCTCTCTCTCTCTCTCTCTCTTCCCCCCCCCCCCCCAAAAAAAAAAAAAAAAAGATTGTTTCAACTGATACCCTCTGCCCTCTGTTTTCATTGAATAATTTGGTTCGATTCGAATTATAACTCTGGTGGGTAACAATTTTCATCGGTTAATTATGTCAATAGTGGGATCAATTTAACTGTGCAATTTTGTATTGAATCCCTAAAACATGTGAGATTTTGAACTTAAGAATTAGCACCAGCTGTCTCTGTGGTGCTTCACTTTATGAATTCATAGGAAGCTGCATTGTTAATTGAATGGATATATCTGCACATCATAGTTCTGCACCCAAATTATCAGTAGATATGTATAAATCTTGCACTATCCTAATTATTGTATTGCAGAGATTCATGTTTAGTATAGCCTAGGATTTGTTTGATACAAAAACACAAGTGTATGTTGCTTTTCATGAATTTGCCTATGTCGTCAAACTCAGATACAATCTAAGTAATGAAAGTACTTTGAATGAGAGAAAAAGTATATGCACATAGCTGTTGTACATAATCTTTTCACATGAGAATCAAGGCGTTTAGAAATTCCGTACGAATTAAAATGGTTTGGGCGATTGGGGTGGTTGCGAGGTTCCAATATTTGGGGATAATACAGTGTTTAGAAGGTTTAATGGTTGTAAGATTGATGTCTTGTATCAGAGGAGGAAGCATTCAGGTGATATGGAAGTTATTGTAAATTTGAAATATGTATACTGAGAGGACAGAAATAATCTCCAAGCTGAAGAGAATGATGATGGTCATTTACTCATTAGGTGCACATTAGACCTAGTCAACAAGATCTTGAGTAAGCAAATAAAATGGTTTGAAAGCACATGAAATAAATATTAATGTCAGACACATATACGCTTTTTTTGTTATTTTATTCTAGTTGGTAGTGCATGTTAATCAGGTAGCGTCGTGTTGGAGAGTTCATGCCATGGTTAGATTTCCTCAGCTTTCTTAAACTGGATGGATACACTTGTCAATAATATGATAAAAACAAGATCTTTCATTTCATTTTCTAATATAATCTTTGCCCAAATGATATGATCTATTACATCTTTATGTTAGAATAATAAATGATTAAATATCGTATAGTTTCCTTGATACTGATAGTTCTTGACTTTCCAGGTACCCTCAACTACTCTTGCACAGAAGCTCCATCTCCTGTTCAGGAGAAAGACAAGCAAGCTAACACATCATTCTTTGATCGTAATCATCTCTAAAATCACCATTCTGCATGATCGTTTGATCTCAATTTTTCTTGCTCTTATTTTTTGTTTTTTGGGTTTCTTCCAGCCTGCCACTGGGCCGATTGTGGGGGAGGCATGTGTAACAAGACATCAGCATTCACGCATACATGTCAGTGTAACGCTGGTTACTACAATCTACTCAATGTCACTGCTTTCCCATGCTTCAGGGACTGTAAGAACCCAAAGCTCTAGTCCATTAAACTTTGATAATTTCAATGTTGATGTATAATTGAAAGTAAATAGCACAGCTTTTGATGCACATTAATCCCTATTTTTTGTGTTCTGAAATGAAAGTGCTGAGTTGATTCTTGAACTTTTATATAAGGTGCACTTGGACTGGACTGTGAAAACCTTGGGATTTCAGGTTCGAACAAATCAACTTCTTCAGACCCGAGTTTTGCTGATGACGTTAAAAACCAAGGTGAGATTGCCACTGCAAAGCTAAATAACAGACTCTGTTCCGAACTTTATTTTCCCTCTTTATCTAAATTGAGAAAACAGAATTGCTCGAAACAAATTATTATTACTTATTTTTCAGTGCCAAACTTTATCGGGTATAATTAGCATATTGTAAATTTGTAATCGCGTAAGCCAATTCATTTCATAAAACTTATGCAATTGTGTTTTATTTCGACTAATTTATTTATTTGCTTTGCCTTGTTTTCTATTGTACAGCCAGCTCAATCACACAAGGTAACAACTGGTTGATTATTTTCTCAATGTTAATGGCTCCGATTCTTTGGAAATATAGCGCGTAGAAGGTGATGTTTCACCTCACATTGCAGAGTTGATCTGTTTTCCACCATTGTTTTGTCACCTTTGTTACCATTCAATACCCTATGCTCTGCTCTTTGTAGAGTTTTGGTGTTTTTATGTACATAGTGAGGTTTTATAAATAAATAGCCATGTATACAGAGTTTAGGGATGACCTTAGATGTTACAGTTTTATAAGACAGACAGACATACATGAGCACATTTACATGAGCTACTACTATATATACTTGTTTGTGGATATCACCTGGACAAACTTTATATCTAGATGTCAGGGGTTCAACCCTCGTTGGTGACTCTCAAACTTAATTGATACTTATAGTTTACGGGTGATTGTAAGTATTTAGGGATTGCTCTCGCAAAGACGGGTCCAAAATAGTCCAGGTATAAGATGTTCCTTATTAGTAGAAAAAAAAACAAAAACATAACAATAGGAAAAAAAAAAAAAAAGAAAAGTCGTTTACATTAGGAATTATACATTGAAGCATAAGCCCACTGAATCTATCTCACACACATATTCAACAACCTTTTTTAATTGTCTCTTTTAAATTTCTATAGCTTCTCTCTTTTCTACATTTGTAACTCATTTCAATGAAAAATTTTCAATCGATATATCATCATACTATAAATATACATATGATTCATACCTCGATTTGTGAAAATGTGCAACTCATAATGGATTCGGAATGGGCTTATCAGGAAAAAAAAAAAACTAATTCCGAGTTCATAAAAGACTTGACGATTTGTTAATACGATATAAAATTAATACAAAATTAGCATGATTGAAAGTAGTCTTAGCAGATTTACATGATTACTAAATAAACTGGATTAAATTAATTGATTAGCATTAATTAAATCTATAATAATCCCTTAAGCTTGATTTATACACGGCAATTAAGGTGCACAAAATCCGGTACTGGACGGCTGTGGATTATATAATTATAATTATAGGCATGACAATACAATACGGTACAAAAAAAAAA